GGCGGCAGACAAAAATCCAGCCCTGTTCCACACTGCACCGGCAGGGATGCTCCCGGAAAACTGGAGCAGCCCTGAAGAGAAACACCCAAAAGGTGGGTGGCTGAGGAACCAGCAAATGATTTTTTCTGAGTATTGCAGCTAAGTAGCAACTAGTACTAGGAAAAGGGATGAGGAAAGAAGAGCCCTGCCGGTGGGAACACAGACATGGAAAGAGGCAGAGGAGAAAAATGGGCAGCTATTCCAGGGCATAACAAGAAGGCAAGAAGGATGTCTGAGATCTGAGAGATGCATTTGCAAGCTGCTGACAGAGACCGTGGGATTCTTCTGATGACCCTACCTTGCTCTGCGTCGTAGTCCTGCAGAGCCAGGGCCTCATCCCAGGGGGCTGGTCCAGCCCTGGCAAGCAGCAGGCACAGCCTTCCGCGGCTGCTGTCAGTAGAGAGCCTTTGCGAGAAGGTGCAGCCCCACGGGAAGCAGACCGGAACACGCATCCGCTGTGCTGGTTCATCCAACAGACCAGACTGTCAGGCACCAACCTTCCACAAAAGCCTTCGGGCGGGCAGGTGAGTCAATGCCCGCTAGAGCAGAGGTGAGGCATCCCCACTTTTAACTCTAGGGGACCACATGGCTGCATGAACATCCCACAGACCGGTAAATGGAAGTTGGCTGGTGTCACTGTGACCTCTGCAGCATCCCCGCAGCCCTGAAGGATGCTGCAGCACCCACTCCCCAGCTGGCACCAGGGACCCACGGGAGGATGGAGGTGGCGGGAGCGTATCCTGCTGCTGGGCGGAGCTGGGGCTGCCATCCTCCCAGGTCACCCCAGACCAGCCTGGGGAAACCTATGGTCATGAGATGTTCCTCTCAGCCAGTGCGGCCTGGCACAAAGGAGCCTTGGTGATGTTTGACAGATACTTTGATACACACCAGCCCATCCATTCACCAAAAAAGAAACAAACAAAACCCCCTCATATGTCTCATTTGGGCAACATGGGCAAGAGCGGCCTCAGCAACCCCAGTAAACAAAACATTGGCGCCCTTTGAGGGGAGCCCTGCTGAGGGCCACTAAGCACAAAGACCACCTCTACCTCCACAGGTCCCTCAGCACAAACCATGGGGGGATGGGCAGAACCCCGGAGAAGTCCTGCAGGGCGCCTGCCCGGCTGTTATGCTTCTCCCCAGGTACAGATAGGCACCGTGGTGGACGCTGGGCTGCTGGCACCACGGTGTCTGACACCCTCCCCCGCTTCAAGAAGGGGAGCAGCAAGCTCTGGAGAAGGAACTGTGCCCCCAGTAATGCGATAAGAACTACCATCATTAACCCCAATTCCTAGTAAGAATCCATGGCTCCCTCTTGGCAGAAGGTGGCTGGAGGTGGCTGGCAAAAGTCAGACATCAGGGATAGAGCCATTCAGGGCCTCTCCCACCTCCTCCCTTCTCTGAACCCAGATGTGGAAGCCCCACATATGACACCCAAAGAGGGGCTGCAATGCATCACCGTGCAAGAGTCCTTACACTTTCTGTGCCAGGGCTGGCTGATCTCCTGCTCCTAGATGAACTGGGACGAGTGCTTCTCCACACCTTCTCTGCAATCTCCTGAACTGCAGTCCTTTGCCAGGGCTTGGGGTGTCATGTGTCCAGGTATTTCTGTTCTGCTCTACTCAGGGTCTCTTTTCTCACTTTTTTCTTTGGGAGAAAACAGGGCTAAAAACACAGATACATTTAAAGTTAAAATGAAAACCTATAATAATAATGCTCAGTACTTACCTCACTCTTGCCATCTTCAAAGTGATTTACAAATGTTAACTAATTAATTAATCTTCACATCCTCTCTGACTGAAATTCAGAGTCACGGCTGAAGTGAGCAGGAAAATAAAGAGCGTGATTTTTCAGGTGAAGGGCAAAGGGAAACCTATGCTCCTGCCCGCTGTTTGCCATCCAGCAAGGCAATTTGCAACAATATTTTCATTCTGTGCTGCACACCTCTCATTTATTTTTCAGTCATACCAAAGGTCTGAAGTAATTTTATCTGCTACCTTCTGCTTCCTTTTTCTTAATGGAGGTCTTAAAAGGTGTTCCCTTTGAAAAGTAAACAAAATGGAAGACTTTCAGAGCTGTGCAGATGCTCCTTGAGCAAATACGTTTCATTCCAAACCCTTCTGAAATCCACAACACAACCAGCCTTTAGAGGTGCAAATAAGTAAATGGGAAGGGGGAGCAAGGCCTGTGGCTGCACGTGGCAAATGCCACTACCGGGGAGATGAGATGAGCCTCGGAGAGGGGGGCAAGCCAGATGCCACAAAACAAAGTTACGGCAGAAGCATGCAGGCAGCCTCTCACCAGCTGTGATTTAGGATCCAAGCCTGGGGCTTCAGCACAGCCCAGGGCTGGTGTGGTGAGCCTGCCAGGACCCCGTGTTGGTCCATGCTCTGGTTGCTGTCACCCATGCACGGGTTTTTGTGCTTACAAGACTGATGCCAGTGTGTGTACGGCGCTCAGGCGCTGCCTCGCCTTGCCGTGTGCTGCACAGGGCGCTCACACAAGTGTATCACGTGCCACTGGCATGCAGCCCTCAGTGCTGGCTCAGGGATGCTTCCAACTCTGCTCCTGGGATCGGCAGCTGGGATTTAAGCTGTGGGTTCAGGGTGTTTAAAAAGATGCTTTGTGCCTAATAGACACAGTGCGGTTAAAGAGAGCAAAGACCAACAGGTCAGAAAGGAGCTGAGACACCTGGGAAGGACAAAGAGCTCTTACAGCTGCTCTTCCTAAGGGGCTGTGGGACTCCTGTGGGGCACAAATATCCTCCCTCCATTATTGATAGCTTCAGCTCTCCCTGGAGGTGCCACAGCTCCAGCCCAGCTCCCACTGGACCTCAGCCGGCTGTTGGGACAAGTGCTTTGTCCGGCTGCTCAGCTCCATCTCAAGCCCATTCTCTTCTCTCCTTTGCATCACACCCCAGTGGCTTTGCAAGTGGCTCTGCTTTCAAAAGGCATGAGGTGCCAGACATTTGGCAGGTGCTCAGGGCTCTGAGGCATCTCTCCCCTGTTGGCACCTCGGTCCCAGACTAGGCCTTCCCAGGGAGCAGGAGAAGCTGATGTGCACAAACCTTATTGCTTCTCGCAGACAAATGCAAATGCAGCAAGCACAGTGACTTTCCTCACTGAGAGAGACAGATGAAGGTGATGTGATGCAGAAGAAGGAAGGCTCAAGGTAATTTAAACAAAAAGCTGGAAGCCTTGTCACAACCCCTCTCTGCAATTTATGGAGAACAGGACTCGTCAAGTAGACTTCCTATTGCTGCAAATTAGCCAGACCTCTCTAGGTGAGTTGAGACAACCCCAGCTCAGTTGCCTCCTTATGCGCTCCTGCAGCCAGATTTGCACCTCTCGTCTGGACAACTTCACGCCAAACCTCTCCTACTTGGCACTTTGTTGACAGATGTCTGCAGCTAAGGGGCTTGATGTCACAAGCTGTGGAATAGGGGAAAGGTGTGGGGCTCCCCTAGCTCTTGGAGACCTCAGCCAGTAACAGCAGTCACCCTGGGACAGCTTGGCATATCCCTGCCCCAGCAGAGCTGGCTGGTATGCCCTGACCTTACACACACACAAGGAAGCTGCTTAATTTTTAGTTTATGGGTTCAAGTGACAGGGGTTCCCCACTGCAAGTTAGTGCTGTATTACAGCAGTCCAGAATCAGTACAATAGCAATATTGCACAAACCAGCATTTTGTGGTGTTTGACTATTGAGATGACATCACACCTTGCTACCACTACAACAAACATGGTCTCAGCCCCCTCCCCATCCCCTTAACAAGGCTTGCTCCCACCTACACTGCCTCAGCTCCAGCTCTCACTTGTCTGCACAGGGAGCTGACCCAGAAAAAAACTCAGCCAGGCCAACAACTTGAAGAAGCCTCCATGCAGACAAAGATCAGGGCTTTCCCTTGTTGGATTAATTTTTCAGCAGTTTGGTCACGCAAGACACCCAGGTTCAGGGAATCAAATTTTAGCACTGGCACAAGGAGAGGCAGGGCAGAGCCAAGCAGGGGTGGGAGTCACAGTGTCAATTTACATTCACATCAGCGTACACTATCGTGGAACAGCAGTGTGGCACTCACATCCCTCTGACTTGGCTTCAAGCCAGTCTCAAGGATGGATCCTCTGAAGAATCGGATGTTTTTTCCTGGGCATCTCACAGGAGTAAATTTTTTTTTTTCTGGCCAGACTCCAACATCACCCAAGAATGGCTTAAGCAGCATTTATACCACAAAAACGCATTCAGATGGGCCTTGACTCGATTACCTTCAACTCTGTCAGACAAGTCCCCACATGACTTTGTTTTGTCCAGGATCAGAGGGCAACATAGTATTGACACAAATATGACCTTTTTCCTCAGTCTCTTCACCTTCCTCTGAGACTACCTGAAAAGCACCTCTTTTAAATGTTCCCGATGCAGATCAATCACACAAAAACTCTTTAAATAAAGATTTATGATTCATTCCTGCCTTATGGACTCTCATCCCAGCTCTACTGAGCTACTGTGGCACTGCCCTTTGGAAAAGGAAGTGACTATTTTGAGTATATTCCACCCAGAAATGGGAGAGAGGCTCTCAGTATCACGACTTATTTTGGAACACGCAGAATCAGTATACGAGACAAAGAGACACCACCACAGCAGCACAAGTTTGTATAGATATGTCCATAGATCTATATTTTTATTGTTTTATATATATTTATAATATATTTATATATTTTTTAAAAGAATCCCTTCAAAAACTACCCTCCCACCTAGCAAAACCAAGATTAAACAATCAAAGATGGCAGCTGCATCCTGGAGCAAAGTATCCCAGGGGTCTCATAGAGCCAAAATGACTGCTGAGCACCAGCACACTCTTTACAAGCTTCTGTGATGCCCTGCGGGTGCAAAGGTGACCGACACAGTTTTATGGCTCTTTAAATTGACCTGTCAA